TTCCGATTCGATATGCAAAATGTAGCATCCATGCTAGCTCTGTTAACAAACAAGCCAGCTGATGAGACGTCACGTCTTTTACTGTGCATGCGTGTCACATCAGTGCTGTGTAGCGTTCACACAGGAGTCTGATGAAGGTCACATTTTAAATGTAATGTGAACGTTCACACAAAAAGATCGGATTTTTTCAAAAAACCGGAACTGAGCATTAAGACCTGCAGTGTGAACGTAGCCTAAGTCAAATTTATTTTCGATACATTCAGCATTTTCATAACAACTGAAGGTAAACATACTTGATTGTGGCATAGAATTGAACTATGTGGCTGGAAAATAGATAAACCCCCTGAGAAATCACGCCTCTGTTTTCCAGAGAAATCACAAGAAGACGGAGGGAAAGTCCAGGACTGCTCACATCTTTTCATTAAGCCTGTGACAGCATCACTGCCTGAAGTTTGGACACCAACCAAACATAAGCTACTTTTTTTCTGAGACAAAAACGTTGTGATACCCAATACTCGCAATCTCTAATGAAGTTGTGATTGATAGAAAAAAAAGTTTTACAAGTTATTTCCTGAGGCCCTAATTCTCCCAGTAATTGTTATATTTGGCCCACTCCCACCTGAAGTTGGAGGGATTCGATTTTGAGCTTCATCGGCGTGTGACGGGAAAATCCACACACTTCTGCACAAGAGCCCTTTTCTCATCGATACTACGCGAAGCGAATGAGAAGTGAAAACAGAACCAAAAAATATTCAAGCATCAGAAATCAAGAGGGGGGTTTGTGGGAAGTTGCGCACCTTTTTTTCAGAAAACGATCAGATTTACTTGGAACTGTTCAAGCAGAGGAGGATACTGGAAGTAACGAAGAAAAAAAAAACATTTCAAATTACACAGGCTGGCACATGCTGAAACTGTCTGAAACTAAAACAAAACAAAAAGAAACCTCAAGTTCACCTTAGCAGGCATTACTTCCCCACCCAGAGGGCACGTCTGTCTGTCTGTGTTCCAGTTAATGAAGGTGTGACAGCTGTAGTAACTAAATGAGTCAAAGGAAAGAATGCAAAACCTCAGCTGGCTGAACATTTCTAAGAATCTTTAAAAATGTCTACGTTAAAATCAATACGATGACATAACAACCAGATGGTGAGGCTTACCTTAGAGTCAGCACTGTTGCCCTGATATTTATATTATAATCCATTTAATAAAAGAATATTAGCATTTAACGAGCACATAAACCCATTAACATGTTAAAAGCAGAGCTAAAAGAGATGAACCCCTCATTTTTTTTACTTCCTTTCTTGAAAAACTCACGAATTAACTCTCCCCTCAGTAGGTTTCCTCCACAGCCTTGTGCTCATTTGTGCAGAGGAAGAGACACCAGGATGCTACAAAGCGACAAACAACAACTCTTCTGGCGGAGCTGCAAGCGTCTCAAGCAGAAAAACGTGTTGCTGGGAACGCAGTGAATTAAAAGAAATAATAGAAACGCAAAAGCATTGCTATCATCTGGGTCATCGTGTCGTCAGTAGTTTAAAAAAACTGTTAAAAAAACTTGCACATGTATCTTTAATCAACCTTTACATCATGTCTAARTCTAAATCTTAAATTAGGACCATTTCTACAATTCACCTCACAGTCAAACATGTCGTGATGCACTGATGTGTAAGAAACATGTCATCTTTGAGCTGTTACATGTGAGGCTAATTTCAAGTGGTTTGTGTGGTTTTGAAGTTGCAGTAAGGGGGAACTTTCAACTGTTTAATAAATGTAGCAACATATTGTTTTATAAAGAAACAACCCTGCTGTTTTGGAGCGTATACAGTATATTCAGAGAGAGACACACGTCTGATTTGAAGCAAAGTACTTTTTAAACTTTTGCCTTAAGCTATAAAAGCAGCTCTGAGCTCACTCCTGTTCTGTAAACAGGTCAAGGTAAAAGTGCTCATAACAACAGCTGAACTTGGTCCAGACAAAGATAAAAAATACACAGCCAGGAAGAAACACAAATGGAAAACACACACACACACACACACATACATACATACATACATACATACATACATACATACATACATACATACACACAACAAATAAATTAAACCATAATAATAAAAATGTGTTCCTGTAAACAAAAACTGTGATCAAACAGTATCTTTAAACACGCCACCGTGGCCTGAGTTTGCTGTTGCGTCATCACCATGGTGACCACTGATAGTTTGCGCTAATTAATAAACACCAATTAATAAAAACACGTCCTCAAAGCCCTGCTTGGCCCCAGAATGCACGTCTTTTTTTCTTTACAACATAGTGGCCCATTTGCTGAATATGAGGTGAGGAAGGAAAGGTTTTAACGAGGCTAATTCTAAGCAAAAATGTTTGATTTTTACGCAAAAAAACATCTGCGCAAGCCCAAAAGATGTGCAGACCCTTTAAACGTCCACGAGCACATTTTCGATCAAGGATAAAAAGGTCGCTTTTAGGTTGATGTTGAACCCCTTTTGCAATGTTTTAGAGGTTAATAGAGATGCAAAGTTGGTAAATGTGGCATCATTTTAAGACAATAAAGTGAATAAAAGATGGCACGGTGTGCACAGCATACTCACGTTCTCCGTTATCTCGGACGGGCACCCACCGCGGCACGACGACTAGCCACCAAGTTGGACTTCGCATAACGGAAATGTGCGGAGAAGCATCTAAACAAAAGTAGCTTCTAGAAGAAGTGGAGAGTGGACTTCAGCGGAAAAGGTGCAGTTTAGCCCTTCGCCTTCTCTCTCTCTCATGGTGACTGCACGCGCCCGGTCCTCCGCAACAGAAAGAGGAAAGAAAACTTTCAGCCACCAAGTTGACGCGGAAAAAAAAGGCTACTGCTCATTTCCGCTGTCAAAAAGAAAAAAAAAAAAGTGCCGCCGTCCAAGCGAGTCAGAAAAAGCTCTGCCAAGTTAACGGAAACACAAAACAATACTTCCGGTTATGATATTTCAAAATAAGACATCATGTCGTGTCCAGTCAGTTGAACCACGAAATAAAAAAAAGAAAACATCTAAACATTGAGCTGGTAAAATTATTCGCAACCAGGAATTTCTCCATGATGATTTAACTTTATTAAATTATGTGATTTTCAACAGCTTGAGACTAACTTGGCTTAAATCTGGTTTTATTTTGAAAGTCTCAAAGAGGAAGTAAACTTACCACAATTTTTTTCTGCCACTGGCTGAAGCACGAAGAACGGAATGTGCAAAACACAGAAACTGTTCAGACTTTAGCCACAAGACCTGTACTTTAATTACTGTAAAATATCGATGTCTCTGACTGGTTTGTCAGAGTTATATCATATTATCGGTGTTTAATAGCAAAGTAAAATTATAATAAATATGACGAACTGTCTTTAATTCCTTTAAAAGATGGAGATGGCCTGGAGAAGATGTCAGCTCACTCAGGCTGTGGGGTGTCGCATCTCCAGCAACAGGAAACATTCAGTGGGATGTCTTGAATTAGTTTTTCTACACTTTAACATCAGGAAAATATATCACATCTTCAATGGTTAATGTTTTCTCACGATTTATTTTATTTTGGGGTGTTTTTGTGGGTTGTGTGTTTACACAGAGCACATCTACCTGTCTCAACAGGTGTGAGGCGCTGATAGTCCTGGGGGTCACAAGGCAAATATATAAACCTGTTACACAGCGACCCCTGGCGAGAAATACCTGTATTACATCAGTAATGTTTGCATAATGCAGACCTGTGTAGAGCCTCTCAGGAGTCTGCAAGCTGTGGCTCCCGGGCCTCAAGTGTCTCTTTGTAACTTTGACCAAAAAATAAATGAATGGCAATGAATATTTATAGGTTAACTGCAGCAGTTCTCTTGTCCTGATTTCTGTAAGTAGTAATGCAGTAAGTAAAAATGCTGCAATAAAAGGATACTACTGAGTCATTTAACAAACATAATCAATCAGTGGTTTGTTAGCTGGGTTAGCACTTCATTAAATTAACATTTTAACTATACAATCTGGTATTTTTTTCTAAAATCTACTAAAAAAACTAAACAATTTTGATGTGTTAATAGCAAGTTGCTCAAGGTAAACAATAAAAATAGCAGTTTTATAAATTTGTCACATTATTTACATTGCTGGTTTTAGACCAGGCTTATTTAATTAAACTGCTCAGGGGGGCACAGTTATTCAAAGCCAACAGCTGAAGGGCCAGACATCCAGCAATTAATGCCATTATGTACAGTATATTAAATTTACAATTTAAAATACTGTTTTTTTTAAGTGACCTCATTAGAAAGCAGACTGAGTTGTATAACTGTGTCATACATTATCAGGACCAGCTCTGAAWTTTTTTGTCATTTTAGTTTTTAAATGCATTTTGCATTAAAAATATATTATTACTGTATTTATTCATGGAWAATACTAGAAATTTAACTCTAAAAATCATCCATAAAGTGGGGGTGTAGTATTATACAYGGGTTATTGATGACTCAATTTTTTTATACTTTTTAAGCTCAAAAATGATTGTATTATATTTGAGATTGTATTTTACATGAATAAATATGGTATTTTAAATTAGCTGATTGTGCTCACCCACAGGTCAGGTCCATCGGTTGGATAACCCTGGTTCAGACTAACAAAGCTGAGATCTTTGTAATATAAAAGTGTTTATTGAGTGGTTCAAACGACAACAAAAAATAATAAATTGTTGGGTACCATAGTAGAACATTTCRTTATTGCTTATTCAATATAATTCAYTCAATGTGCTTTATATCACTGAAATATGCTACTAAAATGATATTTATTTTAAAAAAATGTTATCTGTGCTATTCTCTTTTCGTACTTTTAAGAAAAAGGGTTGAAATGACATTTTCACAACTTCCTTAATGAATACAATGACATGTGAGAGAAAACAGCAAGAACACATTCAGATTTTTTTTATCATTCATAAGAACAGTAGTGTAAATACTGATATTTTAAACAACAGTCAAACTGTACAAGTTTCTTCACTGTCGTTGCTGCACAAGTTGAGTGTATAACAGTCATGATAGCGCTGATTAAAAGTTGCTGAGTCATTCTCAAAAAGTGATTGCACTGAAATGAGCCTTTGGCAGGAAAGTTAAGAGAGGCGGGATTAGAAATCGATATGGTAGATTAAAAAAAATAAAATCAATGCAGTCGTGTGGTAACAGCTTCAAGTGCACAGCTCTAAAGAAAACATACAAAACGTAGAAATCAGCTCCACCAATCTGTAAAAAAAATAATTGGGAGGACTGCTACCGTTATTTTCCAACAGGGAATAGGAAATATTCAAACCTAAAACCAATTAGATGTTCAAAAACAGCACAGACCTGCAGGTTTACTCCTTTAGTAACATTCACCGTTATAAAAAAAATAATGCAAAGGTAGGATTGAAATGATTGCATAAAATGAGATAYATGAACGCGCTACAATGGCACAAGTCGAGTCGTGTAAAATAAAAAATTAAAAAATGCTCCCTTTCATGGAATCCGAGATTTAAATAAGAACCAAGTGACAAGCACTCTTAGGACACAGCATCATCTGGCTGCTGGCGAACAACAGCTAAAAATAAAAGGACATCTTGCTTGAAACGAGACATCACCAGGGGTCCCTGGATGCTCTGATATCAACGAGATCCCCCAGGTGAGACAGCAGAAAAGTTTTCTCCGACATTTCCCCGTTGGTTACGTTGGTTTTAAGTCACAAGAAACAACTGCTAATTGTCTTACTTGTAAAAGCAGTTTTTTTCTCTGATGTAATGCATACGACTGGATTTTAAAAAATCAGTTTTGAACTATTTTTCCACCTACCGGTACATGAAAATGCTCAGACCGCACAAATAACGCGTAATAATAACCTTAGTCATGCAGATTTGCCTTCTATAATCCATAACAGAGACTTTTTGGCTTTTATTTAATTAAAACACTTAGATGGGGTTAGTTAAGTTTTTTTGTGTGTGTGTCTCTAGGACCTTAGCAGATAACTGCATGTGCAGTTTACAGCTTTAATTAAAATACCACAAATTGATTGCACAACTGTACGTGGCAGCCAAAGAGGCAGAAAAGCAGAACACTGGCACTATTTATTTTTTTAAATCAGTGAAATATTCCATATGATCACAGGAGGCTGGGCTGCTGCAATGAAACTGAGTAGTGTGTTATTAAATAGTTATTAATATCTTAGCAAGTGTGGAAAGAGCAAGTTTTGTGTTTTTTTACATTATAAAAAAATATAGTGTTGAGTTTTAAGACTGATTGATTCACAAGTGTCATTCAAAGTGTGATGTGGTCTCAAAATATTAGCCTTTTTAACAATAAGACTGCAGTTAATTGTTTTTGTCTTCCTGAGGATGAAGTTCAGTAAGAACTGCTGAATGATTAGAAAGGAATGGTTAAGTTGTGGGAAAAAAAAGAAAAAGAGGTGAACCTGCTGTCAGTTTACTGGCTCTGCAGCCACTGCGCTCTCAGTTCCTCCACCTCTCTGCCGTACCACTCGTGGAGTTTGGAGAAATAGCCGGTGCCGGGGGAGACCGGGCTCTCCAGCGACGCTCCGACCCTCCGCGGCGGCACGGGCGGAGCCCTCGCTCCATCGGCCCCGCAGCTGAAGGCGTTCACAGAGTCCGCGCTGCCCTCCCAGGCGACGCAGGACGCCCCGCCCTCCGCGAAGCCATTATCCAGGGCGGCAGGTGGTTTACTCCATGATACTCCATTCTCTCTGGAGCTCCCAGGGAAGAGCTGCACTTCATCCTGGAGGCTCCTCTGGGCAGAAGCGAGGACCGTCATGGAAGGAATGCTCGACGATGACGAAAGGGACGATAAAGACGAGGAAGAGGAGGACGCTGCAGACTTGGATTGTGCCGTCGGATTTCTTCGGGAAGACCTGGGCCTGCCCAGCTGGCTTCCTGCAGCCTCCTGGATCTCCTCCAGCTGCCGCTCCAGCTCCTTCACCACCAGCCTCATGTAGTCGAAGCTGGCCCTCGACAGCGCCTTCACCCACGACTCCATGGCCGCGTGGTTCTCAGCTGCCATCTTGTACACCCGCGCCTTGGCGCAGTCGAACTTGATGGCGAAGGCGAACTCCTCGGCCGACTCGCACAGCTCCACCGTGCACCCCTCAAGAACGATGACGCCGATGGGCTCCCGGCTGTCCCGCTCCTCAAAGTAGAAGAGCATGTTGCCCTTGAGGACGAACCAGCGCCGGTGGTAAGCGGTGTTGCGCTCGCCCTTCTTGAACAGGAAGCCCGTCTTGTCCGGTGGCGTGTCACAGGTGGCGTAGTACGCCACGCTGCGCTCGTTCAACTTCATCTTCTCCCCTTACAGTTTTACCTGGAAAGCATCAAAAATGTCACCGAGAAAGTTAGACCTAGTGTAAGTTCAATGCTACTGATTACAAACATAAAACATTATCCTGAACTGTAACAAGTTGTGCCGTTTTAATGCASTTTAAAAGCTTTCAGTAATAAGATGCAGTAATCAAAACATTCAACTGAATCCACTGAAAACTACGTGGAAGAAAATGTGGTAAAATAATTGTTTTAAAAATCTATATGCCTACTTTACCCAACAAATCTGTGCACAAATACATCTAAATTGTTTGACTTCCATGGACATCGCCATTGTTGACCTACTATCAGTCAAATGAACCATTGTTATGAGAAACAGAAGTGTGATTTTGTTTCCTGCTTTAAGTTCTTATGAATGACATGAGAATTTGCAGCTTTTTCTTTCGGCCAGGCTTTTTTTTTTGCTTCAAAGTTTTAAAGTGTGTGTATTTTGTATTTTCTGGGCACATACTTCAGTTCTATACCACAATCAAGTAACTGTTACCAAAATACTGTTTATATCAAAAAATAAATTTGACTTTGCATCATAGTCTATTTAAACGCCTTGATGTTGTCTCTTTAAGAACCTTCTACCGTTTCTGACACTCCCACTTCAGCACGGCTTCACAACAATGCTTCGGGGGAGGGGTGCTCTGTGGGGCCAGAACTTTTGTCTGGGGGGGGGGGTCTGAGCTCCAAGTGTTTAGGCGGCTCTAAATGGCTACCACAGATATATGATATAAAGCTCAAAACAATTGATTGTATGGTACTGCTGCAGCGTTTTTTACAACTCAAGGGTTTTATGGCCAGACTTCAACGTCATGTGTTATAAAGTCATCAGATTCTGCTTAAAACCTTCCCAAAAGACTTTTCACCTCATCTGCTAGTCTCCTCCCCAATGAAAAAGGAAGCCAAGCAGTGCTTTTACTTCTACTTGAGCAGCCACACACAATCAAAAGCATATTCATACCAACCTTTAAATGGTGTTTGTTAAACTGAGCTACTAATCCAATTTCCCTTGGGTTAAAAATAAACAAACCTACCAAATCCTGTGGAAACCTGAGTGCTGCTAATCACCAACAACCTGCCTGGGTAAAAAGCTGTTAGTGATTTGATAAAATTAAAAAAAAGGTTATTACTTACCTGTTTATCTCATATCCAGCTGACATCTGGATCGCTCACCTTCTTCTACCTCCTCAAACAAAAGATAAACCTGGTCACTATTAAGACACCAACTCTCACTCACCTAAAGGCATTTAACATCAATGATAACAACCCCGGCGTCCAGTTTCAGCTGTAATAAAGACAGCGTTTGAGATTAGCTGTTTTATTATCCTTCACCTCTGCTCGCTAATCGCGTCTGGGTGAAATGATTCAGCCTCCAGCAGGCTGATAGTAGGTCACAAGCGTTTTACACATCAGCACTTTCCGAGAACTCATTTCTGCAAACAGTTATAAAAAAAAATCACTAAAATTGCGTAGCTTGTTCGGCGTCTGCTGCGTGCCAACCGAGCTATTTTAGCCACTTATAAACATACAGCTGGTATTCATGAGCTCAACTGAGTTTATTTTTGTTTTTTTACAACAGGAAGCTTCGACTCCTAAACTATAAAAACAAAGTGAGAACAAACTGAATATACCTGCGGATACAGCTGCTTCTGTCCTGCTTTATAATCTCCCGTTTGTTTATTTTACTTCGACTTCTTCATCGCTTTTTTCCTCCTTTCTTTTTTCYTATCACGTGACTAAGAGGAGGGGGCTGCTTGATATGTTTCAAGCGAACAGCTAACATGGGCGGAGTCATCTCCATGATTCCACTTCTGCGRTAGCACCTCTTATCCGGATAGGCGGTAGAATAAAACATGCGCACCTCTTCTTTGTCCTTGGAAAAATGTGGTTCTTGAAACATCAGCCTCATCTTCTTAGAAGAATCAGGAATAATCTAAAACATTTAACCGGGGTTTTCCCAGTCTTTAGCTTCACTGAACTATCCTGATTTTGTCATAAATTGATGAAATTCCTGGGTGTTTTATGTCATAGACTTGAAGTGATATAGTCTAATTTGGCCCTTGTGTGTGAGCTAGCTTTGGGGCCCCATTGACATTTTTTACCCTATAAAAACATTTTAAAAATTGCAATGCCATCTGAGATCTGACAAAGCCTGCTTTGTTAGCTTTCATTAAATTAACTATAGGTAGATCTAGAATGTTTCTCCGTTTAAACCCAATTTTTTTTCCATTTCAATCTTCAAATGGATAGAAGAATATGAGCAACATATAAATCAACATGAAAGCCTTTTTTATCATCTAAAGATTAAGCAGCAAGTGGAAGCAACAGTTTTGATAAAAAAAATAATATGAGACAAAAAAGACTTACTGGCTGATTTTTATGAAAAATAATAAAATAGAGTTCCATAAAACATTGATCTAGTTGTTCCACGTTTTGAGTTTGTTTTAAGTTACTTATTTCTTTTTAGTCATTTTTATTTCTCACCAATTTGCAACATATTGTCTAAACTATAGGCTTTTTAAAACACTGTATTTTTACTTTGTTCAAACTGCATATTTAAAGAAAATACAGTAAAGTTTCGTTAGGAATGAGCAACTTCTTATTCTCTGCAAAAACAGCTGTACAACCCAACAACACTTCTGCCTGGAGTTGTATGTGCTCAAGGGCAACAAGGCAGAGTTAAATATGTACATTTTCTCTGCAGGTCATTTCCACTTCATGTGTTTGAACTTCAGAAATTGTCTTTCTTAAAACGGCTTCTTTTGTCCTTTAGGCTGTTGCTGCACCATTTCTGTAACTTCACCCTTCGGTATGACTGCTGCGGCTTGTGTGACCAATAAGCCAGCATGATTTTATCAAAATATCTTTTCAGGGCACATCGTGGCCTCTAGCGTTGCCATTTTCCTATCTCATCATGTTAATCTTCAAATAAGAGAAGCAGCAGTTGATGACATTTACTATAGTTTCCTTCTTCAGAACTATTTATAGGCTACTGTATTGTGAAAGATTAGTGGACAAGAGCATGGTTTCTTAAATCAAAAACAGGCAAAAAAAAAAAAAACACTGAAATTATTGTGTAAAACTAGACACAAACACCAACACTGAGTGCAAAGTGTTTACTTCTCACAAGTATTTCCAAAAAAGTTTGTGAACACACAACAAAACATCACCGACAGCTTTCCAGACATTCCGGTCGGTCGTCTTTCTGTGCGTGAATTCAGTTCGTGTYCGCTGAGAAGAAAGAGCTGGAGTTTACACGCTTCAGTCTGAGCCCGGTGAGACGCTTTATTTTTAGTTCTTTCAAGTTTCACCTGCAAACGTTTTTCTCCAACTCATTATTTTCCAGCATGACCTGTCGATTCATGCTTCCAATTTGACACTTTTCATCAGCTGAAAAATTAATTGCGCCTATTTTTTTCTTTTTATCAATTTGCTGTCAGATTTCTTTTAGGGTTTGCAGGATTAACTTGATGAACACAGCATGAGAAAACCAGAAAGACTATCTCACATATACAGTGTGTTGCAAAAATATTCACTCCTCTTGGTAATCTTTTTAAATTTGTTGCAGACCCCATCCAACCTGAAGGACATGAAACTGTTTGGTCTTGAGGACTGGACTGAAATTCCAGTGGTTGGATCGAGATCACAGAGGTGTACCAGAAGAGACTTGCTGCTGTAACGACTGCACAAAGTAGTGACACAAAGTATTGGGCTGCATGACCTCTTGCAGAAACTTCAAGAAAAGAGCAATAAGAGTAACACACAAGGCTCAGTACCTGGATCATACTGACCTACTGTTTATGCAATCAAAACTGCTAATACTTATCGACACAGTCAAATTACGAACAGCTCTAATAATGCAAAAAGAAGAAAAAATAAACTGCTAGAAAATTGTCAAAAACTATTCAAGAGAAGGGGAGGAGTTTATGAGCTAAAAGGTTTATGTCAGTATCAGATGATCAAAACCAAAAACAGTTTTCGGAATTTCTGTCGGTGGGTTAAAGCTTTGGAACAAGTTTAATGTCCAAACATTAAGCAGTTTAAAACACCATATAAAACAATTATTATGGATGAAGATCAGACTTGAATAGGTAATATTATTCTTACTTTAACTTACTATTATTATTTATGTGACTGAGCATTGTATTATTGTCTTAAGATGACATTCGACGGGGTTCTACTTTAGAGTGCACTTTATCATTTTATTGTTTAGGTGTGTGTGTGTGTGTGTGTGTGTGTGTGTGTGTGTGTGTGTGTGTGTGTGTGTGTGTGTGTGTACACACACACACATATATATACATATATATATATACATATATACACACACACACTTTTGTAATAGTTGTTGGATGTATTATTTTGTAAGAAATTCAGAATAACCTCTTTGATGAATAAGAAGCGATGGGAGTAAGGATGCAGGAGTGAGCTAATGAGTGTATATTTCTGCCCACTCCTTTGAGCATATAAATATCGTATATTTATAATGTGTCTGTTACCTTCTGTTACATTCAACAGAAATTATTAAAAACAAATAGACACTATTCATTAGTCTTATATTTTTGAACGATTCAAAACAAGTTTGTCCTCACTTAACTTTATTAATCTGAAGTTTTTTTTTTTTTTTTTGCTTAAATTCCAGTTAAGGCAACATAATGGTAAGAATACCAAGAGGAATAAATACTTTTGCAAGGCACTATATCTGCTTTAGAAAGCAGAGCACCCTGCACACTGAACGCACCAACAGACAGCCTCTTCACAGAAATGCATAGTAAAACACAGTGAAAGCAGGACAAAGTGAAGAGTCAGCCATGCATTCATTCAGTCTCCCTTCTGATAAAGAACAAATATTTGGTTTACTCCACTTTCATCTCCATCTTACTTCCTTTACTAACAAAATACACCATTCAGTAAAGTGTCTTGCAGTGGTAATTTTATCCATACAAACATTTTTCTGTGTATATAAACTCTTTCCACTTTGTCCTGCAAAAAAAAAAAAAAACATTTTCTTCATAAAACCTCTCAGTCATCAACATTATATCAAAAATATCCTCTTTTTAAATGTTAAAGTCTCTGTAGAAAAATGCCAGAAATATATTGATATCAAACATGTACATGTAGTTGTATACAAATAAAATTTGATGAAAATTATTACTTCTTCAATAACTCTTTAAAGCTCTAAGCTACGCCACACTGTACCGATTCTGTGAGAGATGCTTGAATGAATGGCACAAGAGTTGAGCAAAGACATGATCAACGAACGTGTGGACACAGATCAGTGACCACATCATCATTCATTTCAGAAACACTGGTCTTGACAAAAGCAGTCTGTGGTGGTGATATGGCACATACTGACATAATATTATTTTCTCCTTATCTGCAGTCCAGCAGAGMAGCAATATTTTTTTCTGACTCACAGGCAGACCTATAGAGCCATCCACACACAATTACAATTCTTAAAAGGCAAATTCCATCGGTTGAGTGGAGCTATTGATTTCCATCTGAGTATGCACAGACCCAAAGTCTTTATAGACATCAATCAAATCCTGGCTGACATCATTTCACCCCATCTGGTGCCGCTTCGTTTAAACTCGCCTCGTTACTTTTGATAATTGGGTTTCAGCAGAATTCCAATCTTTAATTCAGCCATTTATAAAAACAAACATTTCACCACYGCCACAACACAGTCGTCTGTTAGATCTTATATACAGTGACTGTCCTTCAGCTTGGTAGTGACTCCCAAATCTGTGCCTGAAGGTTGTTTAGTGCTCAGACTATTGTCTCCTGGTGGGTGAAAGCCATTAGCACTTTCAGTAAAAGAAGGCTGATGTTTTGGCTCAGCGCTGGCTCCTCCCTCCCTGATCAACCGGGGTCGATTAGCGGACGGCGCAAGCCTCCCTTCCTCTTGAAGCTCAAGAATCTCAATGGACCCTGCAGAGGAGGAGAAAAGGAAATGCATTAATGTCTGACTGCACAGAGGAGGGCCACTTGCCAGTCACAATTCCAAATGCTTCTAGAGGAAAAATGAAAAGTATCATTGCCCAGACACAAGCACTAGCAACACTTAAAGTGAACAGGACTAAACTGCCTGACACATTTTCCCCTGTTAAGTTAAAAATGCTTTCCTTTCTGAAACATCAATTGCCTTTTCTTTTTACCATTTCTTGGCCTACTCTGGTGGTAAGGTAGTGAGAAGAGGACCCCATCTGGGCTATCTTTGCACTGACAAATTTGATCCTGTTGTCGAGATATTGTTTACCTCTCCAGAACACGAAGCAGCTGAGGCCCCGACGTTTTAGCAGATTTCAAAGGGGCRTGAAAAGCTCAAATTAGGTGAGCTTCACTAGCAAATCTTTCTAAGTTTCACTGAACCATCAAGGCCTTTGATTTTGTCTTGCACACATGGCTGCATGAGCGCCCAATTACTGTCTTTTTGCGCAGATTTACCTTCAAACACATAAAAATGTATCTTTTAAYGCCATGCACAATCGTCTCCGCAACACACACACACACATACATGCCCACTCACGTTCTCACATCATGACTTTATCTGAGTCGCGGAGAAAGAAGCACCGAGGATCAGCCAGTATTCTGGCCTGGCATGCATCAGATTTGTGTCTGAAGGAGCTGGTGTTTACAGAGAGTAATTATATATATTACTATATTATATATATATAGTCCCGGCGTCTAGGGTACCCAGGACACACAACATATAAAGTCTGGACACAAATATGTTTAAATAAGAACACAAATTTAATGATATTAAACCTGGGAGCCCCACTCAAAACAAACAAAAAGGAGTCTGTTTATTCTGTGATCTAACAAACCTTCGAAACACCGTCTCCATTACAGATGTTAGGCCTCTGGCATGTAAAGCCAAAAATTATTTGTTTTATTGGGTTTCATGCTTCCTCGTAACATTTTTATTCTCAGTAATTAAAATGAAATGTAGCTTATTGAGGCAAACAAAAATCAAAGTAAACGATGCGTGCCGAACAAGGATGAGCAAATAGACAAAGTCTCTCAGCAGACGATCGCCACCAGCAATCAGACTGAGAAACAACTGCTAATTAATATTCTCAGGCAAATATCTCTCTCTCTTTCTTGCTCTTACTACTGAGTTTTATTACTCGCTGTGTGCTTGCCAAGTTAAAAAATCTGATGAAGACAATACAGGGACTAGAAGCACTACCACCACACATTWAACTAATGCCCATTTACAACTGAAGCAATCAGCCGTTCTGATCAGACAGATTCTGAGGTAATTAGGAAAACAGCAGGTTAACTTTTGATAAGATGTTCAAGTAAACACTGTAAACAGATTATTTATACTGATAATTTTACAGGGCTTAACCACCAAAAAAGTATTTTCATAAACTTCATTTGCGGTTTTAGGCTGATGAGGCTCTGAATAGACAAGCAACATTTCCTGATTACAGTATACATACAGTGTTGAACTGCTTCCAGTGGTGTTTGCTGTACAAAGTGCTATTTTTTTTAATAATAGCAACCTCACCCACATGGATATTGAGATGCATGTGCACAAAGAGATTGTTCTGCATACAGATGTTGCTGAGTGGGAGTGAAGCCTCAGCCAAGGAGAAGGGAAGAAAGAAATGAAGGAACTGTGCGCGCGAGCAGAGCAGAGATGCAGAGAGATAGAGCTGGGCTACGAATTAGAGCAGTGAGCTGTAGGGAGTGGGTCAGAGCGGTTGACTCAGGCCTGACTCATGATGGAGGCGGTGAAGATCCACCTCCACCCTGCCCATTACAACTTTATCCTCAAGCCTGGAGCGTTGGAGCTCAGATAGCCTTTAGAAAAACATTGAAACCCTCCTACAGCCATGGTCACTGGAGCAGAGGTATTTAGTTTATTAGGACCAATTTACTGTAAGTCATGGAGGTATTTACCACTGATGACTCAAAATATGTTTTTAATAAGCGCAAATGGTTGAACTGTTTAAGTCAAAGTGAATAAYATTAAGAACATARGCTAGCAATATTCATTCCTTCAAGGAATGCTGAGTTTTTAGTTATTTGATTTGTTGTTTGAGTTGATGTTTTTATGTTATTGTTTTTATTTTTAATTTAATTTAATTTATGTTATTTAGCATTGTTTTGTAAATTATGTTTCGCTTGAATATATTCCGGGTCGAAAAGTGGCAGACATAAGATTTATTCTTCTTCTTCTACCTTTTTTTGGTTTATTTTTAATTTTTGTACATAGTATTTTTTAATGAAATGAAAAAAATTTTGAATTTAATTGAATTTTAGACGGATGCTGAGATTTCTGAGTTTTATGCAATCTCATTCAGTATTGTAAGATATTACAAAAAAGCATGTATTCGTACTCATTTTTAATTCAAAAATGCTTTATTGATCCCAGAGGGAAATTAGTTAAGATAAGAAGATAGATATGACTCTAGGGTAAGAGTAGGACAATGTTTAGTTTTTGTTTGTAGATCATTATTGTTTAAATTTATTTTTTTTGAGAAAAAATGCGCAGATAAGATTTTTTCTTCTTCTTTCCGTTGCCTTTCATTTTATTTGTGATTTGTGTTTTGTTGTTTTTTAAAGAAATGAAATGAMTAAWCGAATAAATAAATGTCAACCAGTTGTGGCAGCCACTTTGAACTCCAAAATGTTAATCAGTTGGAGATGTTGTTCATGGTTCATTAATAGTCAATCCAGTGGTTCATTAGATATTTTGCTAACAGAACACAGTCACAGGCAAAAACAAAACTGTGCAATACTTCTGTATGCTGTAATAGGAGCATTTGGACAATCCAAAGTGAAAAGTGCAGACACCTTTACCTTTAATCATACAATTACAGTTAGTTTTTCTTCTTTTGTCAATTCCCTCAGTTCAATAAACAGTGCATTAGCTGCTAGCAAAGTGCCACTGTGGAAACGTTCCCAAGAACAGCATATATTAATGGTATTGGCTGTAATCTACTCTGTTCAGCACTAATGTGTATGTGTGTGTATGCTGCTGCTGCCAGACTCATTAGGATCCACTAATACAAGATAAATAGAGTGAATGTTTTTAACAGAGGGACCATCAAGAGGACCAACACCCCTCACATCACAGACTCCCTTTTTTCACTCTCTCGCTCAGTCCCCACTCTTTTCTGCCCCCCACCACCCCAATCCAATTTCTCATTTTTCTCATGGCTGAATATCCACTGATCCCTAATCCGCATGCCGATTTGAGATCGGAAGGCCAGCGAGGTCATGCATTAGATTTAGTCATCAGTGAGTGTTATTCTAAACCTGATTTTTCTCACTCCTAACCTTCAAGCCTCCCACCCACTCAATACCAGCACCAACATGCGATTTAAAGTGCATATGAGATGTATTGTTTTTAAAACCTCCCACCCCTTGAGCCTACATAACTGCTCCCTTGCAGATCTTTGCCTCGCTGCTCCTTTCCCTCTGTCTTTACTTACGTCCTCTTCTGTGCTTTCCCTCTCAGTTTATCAGAAAGAAGAYGTGCAGCAGTAGTTCTGAGCTTTGTTAAAGCAAAGCTTGGAACAAAGGCAGGCTGTTATCTTCTGTTGTTTAATGCAGCTAATTAAGGGCATTGCTCTGAGGAAGGTGCTACTATTCTCATCTAACTCTAGGGTATGCTGTCTCCCCAAGTCTGCCAAGCTGACATGTGCTTCTACGCGCACACGCACACGCACACGCACACACACACACACACACACACACACGCAATTCCTTGACATTCAATTCGAAAATGATTATCTACTCACACACATTGGAAACTCAAGCATTATTAATTATGCTTCCTAATAGAAGCTGATAAAGCGGAAACTACCAACTCCGAATGTAGGCTGCGATGGAACGATATAAATGCTGATTTTTATTCCTTTAAGGACATAAAAGTGCAGCACTTTTTCAGCTGTATTATCTTGATTCAAGGGCAGAACTGATAGGCTTACTGCTCATTTTAGTCTCATATAACTGCCACAGTGGGGTGGCATAGCATTCACAAAGGGGTGGAGACGAGTGTCTAAACAAAGGAGCTCTGTTTCTAAGGTCGGAAGAAAGAAAATACAAGTTTTTGTTAGAATTTGCTGTAAAAACATCCAGTCCTCAAATCCAGAAGACTGTGCGTCATCAGACAGTTCTCTCTCTTCCCCAGCACACAGTGCCACTCTCTCTTTTCATTATCTCCTTCAATCCTACAGCCTCASTCTACGTCAACAAAATGGGACTTAGACTGGAAGGTAATGAAGGAAGAGTGAGTGGAAACGCACTTGTACCTAACTGTGCATTTAGGCAAGYGTGCATGAAAATATAAACACATCCATCTGAACATGGCTTTGATTTATCGCTGTATTTCTGTAAAATATGGCCATTTTACTGTGTGCAGGTGTCAGTGTATGGGAAGCTCTTTAAGGCTTTGGATGAGGACTGAGGAAAGCAGGTTCCCAGAAGAACATAAATTAATCACAGCCTCTTCTAAGAAACAAGTTCCTGAGTTTGAGACTCATCATTATCAAGAGCTTCCAGAGTGACACATACACAGTTGTGCTGTTGTCAATCATCTTTCCTAATGTTTTGTGTATTTTTTAGTCATTTATTATTGACTGTAAGGGACACACACATGCACAGCTCTGTAAACACGTCTCCACATGAATGCAAATAAACTTGCATGAGGACAAACTCACAGTTGTGCATCGGAGCGCACACGCAGTCGCTCTTCCTCCCTTTCTCTTCCTGACAAACACAATCATACATGCACAAACACTCACCGCTTCCTCCTGATCTCGCTGTTTACGTCTCAGCGCCCGTGGCGATGCTTTTTTCTTCATTGCGCTTCTTTTCTCCCTCCTTTTGTTTTCCGTTTCCCAGCCCCTCCTCTCTCTGTTTGGATAATCCAAAGTTCAACTGGAGTAGAAAACACTATTAATTATTCAAGAATGTTTAAGTAAAGACATAACAGGGTGGGGGCTTGGTGTCAAACCGTGGTGGTGGTTGATTTACGCAGGATTGTTTTATGGGGTTTTCGGGAGGGCGTGTGGGGAGACACACAAGGTGGAGGAGTGTTTGTTGTGGGTGGGAAACTGTGGCTGACTGAAAGCCCTCCGTTTTCCAACATCAGTTGATGAGAAAGAACGTGAGAGGAAGGAGGCGGGGAGGATGAGCAGCAATGCACAGGACTGAGCCTCATGTCGCTCAGTTCTGCCTGTAGGTGTAGTTCAGTGTCGTCTACATCATACTGGAGGTCACAGTCTGGGCAGTAGCCGTGATACTGGACCTTCTCGCTGAAGCGGACTCTCTCGCGAGGTTCCCTGCTGGGGGCTTTAGGGCATTTGCTTTTCTCGTGGCGGAGAAGCGGCATGGGTCTTGGCAATGTAGGAACGAGACCCGATTCGGAAATCTCGCTGTCCCCAGTAATGAAGCACGGAGTTGATGAGAATAAATCCTTGTTTGGTTTCAGCGGGAAAACCCCACCGTTCCTTATCAAAGACCCATTTGCCTTGGATATATTCCCTGACAGGACGAAAGTTGGATGAGGCAGATTCTTAATGTTGTGGTCCTCTGCTCTCATCGGAGTGAGTCTTGGAGGTGGCAGGGGYGGGTGGGATTTCTTGAGCACAGTCAGGACTGAAGAAGGGCTGAAAAGTACCGGACTGAGGGGCACTTGGGTTTTAAAGATGCAGTCATCAGGGTAAACCTTCATCTTCTCCAAGCTTGAAGCAGTGGTGGTTGTGGTGGTGGAGCTTGAGCTGGAGTTTAGCGTGTCTGTCTTGGAGCTGTCCGTTAGTCCGTCCTCTTCCAGTTGCAGGTCCCCAGTCAGGGTGTCAATCTCATGCACAACCTGGCAACAAGCAGAGGAAGAGTCGAGATTAATAAACCTAGGTGACAGTGCGGCATGAGAAGATGAAACATTACCTGTCCTACAATGATCAAAAAGAACAAAGAATAAATAAACAGGTAGGCAGCTGGAGAAATCAAGCAGAAAGGTGCAAGGTGTTATGAAACAACTACATTATTTTTTAGAAAATTTGTGCTTTTAATGCTTTTTTTCCAGATAAAAAATTAAAACGGAACATTCTATATTATTATTCTAGAATATAAYATCAACTACAAATATGAAGAACTGGATTTTGACAATCACAACCCTGAAAAACTTGGGATGTTGTGTAAAATAGATATGAAATGTAGTCGATGAGATATTTGAAGTCTTCCCACTGAGGATTCTAAAGTTGCTCAACTATTTTAAGATACAATTCTTGAAACTGGTGAACTTTGGTCTGTCTTTACTTCTGAGAGTTTCAGCCTCTAAAATGTTTTTTTAATACCCAATSCTTTCACTGACCTGTTGCCAATTAATCTAGTTAGTTTTAAAAATGCTCTTCAAGCTGTTTCTTAGTCATACATTTACTTTTACATCTTTTTAGTGTCACTCTCCAAACTTTTTTGAGATGTGTTGCTGCCATCAAAATTAAAATGACCTTTAACTTTTTTTTCAAAAATGATAACTTAGTTCAAACATTTGATATTTACCGTGTTTCACTGAGAATAAAATATGGTTTTATGAGATCTCGAAATCATTGAATTTGGTTTTCATTTGCATTTTACATAACACCCCCAACTTCTTTGAAAGTAGGTTGGTGTAATTTGTAGGAAGAATCGTGAATCTCAATTGTAAATTAACTGATATAAAGCAACAATTACATCCAAAATTACTTTGGAACCTTCAAATTTGTCTAGTAAAAACAAGGCACTCATTTGTTTAATATACAAAACCAGTGCTAGATGAAAAACTGGAGCATAGGGAAAAAAAACACTAAAATGGACAAAATAAAAAACAAAAAAATCAATTAGCTTACTGGAAAACTGTCACACAGAAAGACTACTTAAAACGGCAGAATAAATCTGTTAAATAATTTACACTACATTGCACAAAACTATTATGAGGAGGGCTGATGAATAAAACTTTAGAGCAGAAAAATTGCTGAAGATCCTTTAAAAAGGGCGGCATAAATTTATATCAGGTTTTATTGGAACAGATGGGAGAAATACTCTACCATTCGAGTGCAAGATCATTTCTGTCTTCATAGCTTGCGGACAAACTATTTACGAACGTTTGAGCAGAAATGTGATTTGCTGGCACTAAGTGGTGCTGGGAACTTTATACCAAATTAGTCATACAAAAATATTATACCCTACCTGCAAAAACAAAGCATATGGAACAATAAAATCCTTCTGGGCATGATGAATATTTTTTTCCATCCATCCATCTATCCATCCATACTCTGCACACCAATCTAAGACCAAGACAAGTAAAAGTACCACACGATGTTTTAAATATATACCCTCATGTCCCTGGCACTTGGAAGAGGAGTGCGTATTCTTTTGTATGTATATGTATTGGAGTGCTCAAACAGTAGCTGGACGCTWGTTTTAAATCACACATATGAACATTGTCCAAGGAAAGCGCAGTGGACAAAATTAAATAATGGTGCCAACATCTTCTGGAAACTTAAAACTGATATTCAGTCATAYGATGCCTGTGTGCTGCAGCCATTTTAACAAGTCTGTCCAAAATATTCCCTTTGGATGAGAGAGCCTTCCTGGTTTCCTTTGATGCCCAGAACTGAAGAMCTGGACATTTTATTAATTGCTGCTYGACTATTGAGGAACCAGAAAGTCYAAAATAACTAAAACGGAGAATGCCTGAGTTTTTATGGCTGAAACTTTTCTGTTGAGAAAAGCCTGGAAGTCAATGAAGGTATGTGTTTATCTTAATGCTAAGGTTTTAGAGAAAGCTCTGCGTTGCAYTTGGGTTATGTGGTGTGAATGACTCTCACTTACAACCACAACTCATTTTAGTACAATATCTGTAAAACTGACTGACATGTATCAGTTTTTGTATTTGCTAATGTTGTTAGTTGACTGCGGCAGCCATTTAATCAGCTGAAAACATAATCCATTTCAGTGGTTTGTGAGATATTTTACTAACAGACAGAACTGACTCCAAATACTTATTGGCAAAATTTTTAACAAAGTCCTTGGAGATGATTCTCGGTTACTACCACAGCAACTTTTAGGTAAATATTTATAAAACTGACAAAATTATAGACACTTTTGCGTCTTTTAGGTTAGTTTTCTGTGACGGCCATGTTGATTTGGGTTGACTCCAAAAGTTAATTAGTCATAGATGCATATCCAGTGTTTACTTTCTGAGAGTTTTGCTAAAGTTTGGGATATTTTGCACACACACACACACACACACACACACACACACACACACACACACACGAACATGGACAACATTATCATTCCCCTTTGCCTTTCAGACAATAATATTCACACAAAAAAAACTTAGCAGAAGGAATAAAAAATATATACACTCCATCAACAGCACATGTGCCTATTTTTAGTTTTTGAATACTCCCTAATTCAAAACACGATAAGAGACACTCAAACACTGGCTTCAGAAGAGCTTAGGAAAGAAACGGAGTGTTGGAAAAAGAAAATACAGACTGAGAAGAGAGTGAGTAGGCTAGAGCGGGAAAGGCATGGAGCTAAACTCTCCATGCAGTCTTTAAATGGATAATTTGTTGGGACACACACACACACGAGGTAATACCAGTATCCCAGTCTGCAGCCCCTGCTGTAGGCCACACAGCTTGGGTGGCTGTGCCAAGCATCTGAGCAGAGTCCAGACTCGGCTCTGTGAGTTCTAACAGATAACTGCGTTTCAAACGGATTTAGGCCCAAACACCGGCTTTGATAGTAACACCCCCTTGAGGCTTCTATTTAATGTGTTAGCTGTGTCAGAATAACTGATCCTTTATACAATTTCCTGCGAGCAAAGAAATAATAATAAAAACAGAAAAACAAGAGAGAAGAAAGAGGCCCCGTGAGAAGAAAATTACAATAGACAGATTATGATGCCCTGTTGATGTGGTTTGACTCTGGTCCCTGCTGAACAGATAGTAAACTGCTGAAGAAGACGAAAAAAAGTTGAACTCATTACAATGTCATGTAGACCAGTCAATACAGATTTTTTTTCTTTCCTCGTGCCATCCTAAAATAATAATTTGTAAGAAAACTTTGAGAACAGCTGCCAGCTACCACAGGCGTTTGTTTATGTGCAGAAACAGAAAAATGACTGAAAATAGGTCAATGTATTTGTACATATTTACTCTCAGATTTGTTGAGGAAAACATGCAGATAAAAAGATGGCTGCTGGTCCAGACGGAGTTTCTCAAGAGCCACGTGTGTTTGAATGCCAAGCTCTGTTTGTGGACTCCACCACCCTGATTGATCCTTGATATTTATTCTTAACAGTTGCCTTACTCCATCTTTCTGCTTTCTTTTGYGTTTAAAAGCAAATTCACTATTTCCACCTGTCCATTTCCACCACGTGTCTACCTACAGACTCCAGTTAACCTAATGAAGGTCAGTCACGTGACTCGAGCTTCCACGTGGTTTTCGATGGTTTCAGCTGATTACTTTGTTTGCATGTAACGCGTACCCGCATTTCAGAAATGCATATTAACTGTCAAACTACTGGAGTTTGTCAAACTGCACTGTTTGATGCAACACAGGAGGATAACCCATATTGTTTTGGATTTCAAGTTTGCAATAAGCATCGTAAAGCTCATTTTTTAAGAAAGAAAAAAAGAAAAGATGTAGAAAAGGGAGGCGAGGAGGCAGGACGAGACAGATGCTGTGTGCACTACCCATCCATAATGTAGAAAGCAGCTATGCAATAAGATTTCATTACACTGACAGCTTATCATGTTAAGGTGAAAGGTTTAGGACAGCAGCACGGATACCTGCTGTAGAGGAATGTAAACATAAGAGCAAGTAAGACTGTTTTTTGTTCCAAGCAAGGTGACWGAATGAGTTTCAGTGATTGGGATTAGATCCACAGATTTGAAGTGGCTGCAACGTTTACATAAAACACACGTCACAGAGAGGCTCGATTAGGAAAAAAACTTGCTTTTCAGATCTCTCAAACATCCCCCAATGAACACACGCGCCTCCGCTGACACTCCATMTGTGCATCACCGAGTTTTAAATGGGCAGACAGCTCTGAGAGTTTTGATCTTCAACAGGAGCGACAGGAGGTCGCAACCACAACAGAAGGAAGGGTTGATGAACGGCCGCCTTAATTAAAACATATAAAATACAAGGTGAGTCAAAAAGAGAAAGAGATATCTGTTGTCTGCGAGAGATCGTTCTCAGCAAAAAACAACAGCCTGCATTTAGATGATGAAATGCAATGCAAAGGCGCATTCCTGGTTGAACCAACTTGTCCATTAAATATTAATTGGAATTACATTTTTCCTCACTTTCATCATGGTTTGTGAGTAGAGGCTGCCCTGTCATTTCACACCCCACAGCCTCCTGTGTCAAATGTCTTTCATGCTGGAGATGATCACATATTAGTGGGCAGGAGGAGGGAGGAGGAGCACAATCTGTGTATACTAAGTGAGTGAGTGAGTGTGTGCCATCTCCAGGCCAGTGAGGTGGATGTCAGCCTCCCATTACAAACAAAATATAGAGAGCATCATATCAATAAAGAAAAAAAGAACAGACTTTGAAAACAATGTGTTCCCTAACCATTTACCTCCTTCAGCTCTTTGGCGACATCCTTAAGGTCTCCCAGGATGTTTTCCAAATTCTCCACGATTGTCTTGATCTCCTTTTTCACTTGCACTTTGGAGACTACTCCTTCAGCCTCCGCATTTGGTGTCCCTGACATTATTCAGTTTGTGGCACAAGTCTGGGTTTTCTTCTTCTTCTTCTTCTTCTTCTTCTTCTTCTTCTTCTGCGGAGGATCTCTCGTCAAACCCTTTGGTCGCCTGGATCCCACTTCGCCTGGAACATCTTTATTCAGTCCCCCCTCCTGGCTCTGCCTACACTTTTCTTTTCTCTGCTACATCACGGCCAGGGCAGAGAAACGAAGTGGCGTCGGGGCAAGCAGTCTATATATCCAACACTACTGGGCATGCGCAACAGACGCCAAAAACACGAAGAATATCGATTGTTAAAATCCTGTATCGCGCCGTCTGAGGAGAAGCGGAAGGCGGCCACAGGTTTGGGAACAACATATCCAGGCGCTTCTGCCCAACAAAAACCAAACAACGACGCGCCGACATCTTCCGCGACAGTTGCGAGGCTTTAATTCAACATTTTTCTGTGGAGAAAAATAACACCGCGCGGACAAGCGCTAAATTAACTGGTTAGCTGTAGAAGAAGAGAAACGCTACCCAAAGCAAAGGTAACACGCTCTATACCTCCATCCCCGACACCACCGGGTAGCGACACCCCCAGAGGCTCTTTCCTGTGAAAAACTCCCCGCCAGGTTCATCCTGTCTCCATCGCTGCCGCCTCGGAGCGTCTGAGGAGCTGCAGCAGCAGCCGACGTCCGGGCTCGCGGAGCAGCATCCTCGCACGCGCAGCTCTTCCCTGCCTCCCTCTCTTTCCTCCCTCGCGCTCTTTCCTCCTACTGCTGACAGCGTCACTTTCTGTGTGCGCGTTATATTACTGTGGTCGTGTTTTTCACGGTTAAATAACTTAATTATTCACACCTGCTGCTTGTAGTTAATCAAACCCAACCTGCCATCCGCGTGAAAGCTAAATTAGTGAGCTAATTACAAGAATTAGGCCACTCAAGCGTGGGAAATATAAATATTATTTTGTTGATTTTTTTAACTAACTGATTTTTAAACTTTATTTGCATACAGTAAAGCTTTTGAATATTGATGTGCATTAAGAGCTAATTCAGACTTGTATTTTTTAAGTCAGGGATTCTCAAGCCATTTGGGTCTGGGGACCCCAAACAAGGTCGAAAAAAAATTCCAGGGACCCCCTCATAAACCCTGTGCTGTTTTAAAAGATAATTTATTGTCATTTCAACCCCTAAATGCCATGGGAATCAATCAATCAATCAATCAATCAATCAATCAATCAATCAATCAATCAATCAATCAATCAATC